AACATTTTTTCATGTGTTTTTTGATCATTTGTATGTCTTCCTTGGCGAATTGCTTGTTTAGGTCTTCTGCCCATTTTTGGATTGGGTTGTTTATTTTTTTCTTATTGTGTCGTATGAGCTGCTTATATATTTTGGAGATCAAGCCTTTGTCAGTTTCACTTGCAAAAATTTTCTCCCATTCCGTAGGTTTTCTTCTTGTTTTATCTCTGGTTTCCTTTGCTCTGCAGAAGCTTGTAAGTTTCATTAGGTCCCATTTGTTTATTCTTGCTTTTATTTCTTCTAGGAGAAAATTTTTGAAATGTATGTCAGATAATGTTTTGCCTATGTTTTCCTCTAGGAGGTTTATTGTATCTTGTCTTATGTTTAAGTCTTTAATCCATTTTGAGTTGATTTTTGTATATGGTGTAAGGGAGTGTTCTAGCTTCATTGTTTTACATGCTGCTGTCCAGTTTTCCCAACACCATTTGCTGAAGAGACTGTCTTTATTCCATTGTATATTCTTGCCTCCTTTGTCGAAGATGAGTTGACCAAAAGTTTGTGGGTTCATTTCTGGGCTCTCTATTCTGTTCCATTGGTCTATATGTCTGTTTTGGTACCAATACCATGCTGTCTTGATGACTGTAGCTCTATAGTATTGTCTGAAGTCTGGGAGAGTTATTCCTCCAGCCTCATTCTTTCTCTTCAGTAATGCTTTAGCAATTCTAGGTCTTTGATGGTTCCATATAAATTTTATTATGATTTGTTCTAGTTCTGTGAAATATGTCCTGGGTAATTGGATAGGGATTGCATTAAATCTGTAGATTGCCTTGGGCAGTGTGACCATTTTAACAATATTTTCATTCTATTAATAGTCATTTTTGCAGAGCAGAAGTTCTAATTGTAATGAAATCCAACTTAATGATTTCTTCTTTCATGACTCATATATTTTGTATTGTATGTAAAAAGTCATCTCCAAGCCCAAGGTCACTTAGATTTTCTCCAATGTTATCTTCCAGAAGTTGTATAATAACTTTTATTTCACATTTAGATCTGTGTTTCATTTTGAGTTAATTTTTATGAAGGGTACAGGTCTAAATCTAAATTTTTGGTTTTAATTTTGTTTTCTTGTATGTGAGTGTCCAGTGGTTCCTGCACCATTTGGTGAAAAGGCTATCCTTTCTCCACTGAATTGCTTTTGTTCCTTTGTCAAAGATTAATTGACTATGTCTGAGTGTGTCTATTTCTGGGCTCTGTATTCTGTTCCATTGATTTATTTCTCTATTCTTTTGCCCATATGACAATGTCTTCATTATTGTAGCTTTATGGTAAGTCTTGACATTAGATAGTCTTCCGACTTTGTTCTTCTCTTTCAGTATGTATTGGTTCTTCTGGGTTTTTTCCCTTTTGGTATAAACTTTAGAATCAGTTTGTTGATACCCACAAAATAATTCGCTGGGATCTCGCTGAATCTATAGATCAAGCTAGGAAAAACTGACATCTTAATAATGTCTTCCTATCCATGAACATGGACAACTTTCTCCACTTATTTGGATCGCCTTTGATTTCCTTCTTCAGAGTTTTGTAATTTTCTTCACATAGATCTTGTACATATTTTGTTAGGTTTGGATCTAAATATTTTATTTTTTATGCTAGTGTAATTTATGTTGTGTTTTCAATTTTAAATTCCTATTATTCCTTGCTGTTGCTTAAGAAAGCAGTTGACTTTTGTGCATTAACTCTGTATCATGGAATTTTGCTATAATACACTTACTAGTTTCAGGAGGTTTGGGGTTGGTTCTTTGTTTTTTTATTTTTGTTTCTGTTTTGTTGATTCTTTCCAATTTTCTACATAGACAATTATATCACCTGTAAACAAAGTTAATTTTATTTCTTCTTTCCCAATATGTATAGCTTTTATTTCCTTTTCTTGGTGTTGCATAGCTAGGACTGTCAGTACATGTTTAATAGAATGGTGAAAGGAACTTAGGGGGAAGCATCTGGTTTCTCACCAGTAAGTATTTTTTGGCAAATATTGGTAGGTTTTTCAGCAAGTATTCTTTACCAAATTGGTGAAGTTCTCCTTTATTCTTAGTTTGCTAAGAGTTTTTTAAAAACCATACATGGGGGTTGAATTTTGTCACATACTTTTTCAGCATCTATTAATATGGTTATATGATGTTTCTTCTTTAGCCTGGATGATATGGTAAAATCCATTAATTGATTTTTGGAAGTCGAAGCTGCCTTGCATACCTGGAATATAGTTCATCTGGCCATGGTATATAATTCTCTTATACATTGATGGGTTTGATTTGCTAATACTTTGTTAAGGATTTTGCATTTATATTCATGAGAGATACTGGTCTGTAATTTTCCTTTCTAGTGGTGTCTTTTTTTTTTTATTGAAGTATAGTCAGTTTGCAGTGTTGTGTCTAGCAGTGTCTTTGGGTTTGGTATTAGGATGATGCTGGTCTGATGGAATGAGTTAGGAAGTTCTTCTATATTTTGGAAGAGATTTTTTAAAACTGTATTATGCCTTATTTAAATGTTTGGTAAAATTCACCAGTGAAACCATCTGGGCTGATGCTTTCTGTTTTGGAAGATTATTAACTATTGATTTAATTTATTTTATGATAGAGGCCTATTCAGATTATCTATTTCTCCTAGTATGAGTTTCAGTAGTGTCATTTCAAGGAATTGATCCATTTCATCTGAGTTATCAAATTTGTGAACATAAAGTTGTTTATAATATTCTTAATTGTTTTTAATGTCCATGAGATCAGTTGTGGTGGCCCCCTTTCATTCCTAAAATTAGTAATTTCTGTCTTTTCCCTTGGTTAGCCTGACTAGCATTTTATCAATCTTACTGACCTTTTCATAAACACAGCTTTTGGTTTTGCTTACTTTGTGATTTAATTTATTCTGTTTGGAGTTCATTACCTTTTTGAATCTGTAGATTTATTTCTTTTGCCTAATTTGGAAAGTTTTTAGCCATTATTTCAATGAGTACTTTTTTATTCCTGCACGCTTTTTCCTTTCCTTTTTGCACTTGATGATGCAAGTATTAGGTCTTTTGGTATCATTTCACAGATGCCTGAGACTGTTCATTTTTCTGTTTAAATTGGGTAGTTTCTATTGTTGTGTCTTCCAGATTAAAGATTCTTTTCTCTATTTCTTACATTCTGCTGTTGAGGTCAAGTTTTTTATTCCAATTCTTATATCTTCATCTTCTTTACTGAGATTTTCTATTTCTTTGCCAAAATATTCTATTTTTGCATTTGTTCCAAGCACATTCTTAATTTCTAGTCAAGCATTTTTGTGATGAATATTCTCAGGTCTTTGCCTGATAATTGTCACATGTCTGTTATCTCATGCTGGCATCTATTGATTATCCTTTTTCAGTTACTTTGACGTCTTTCTGGTTCTTGATATAAGTGATTTTAATGGAACCTTGTACATTTTGGATATTATGAGTCTTTGGGTCTTATTTATACTTTCTATTTTACCTAGCTTCCTTTGACACCTCTGGTAGGGGAAGGAAAAAAATGCCTTCTCATTACTACCAGGAAAGGGTGGAAGTCCAAGTTCCCCAGGAAGTGTCCATTGACACCCATGTGGCAGAGGGGCCTGGGGAGGGCTTGTTATGCTCACTAGGATTGGGAGTTCCAGCTGCCCACATAGGGGGTAGGGTGGCCTCAGTAGTGCCATGTAGTAGTGAAAGTTTTGACTCTCCACTAGGCCGTTGATACCACCTAGCAGGGAGGGAGAGGATTATCTTGTTATTGCTGCAAGTCTGGGCTCTCCCTGTGGTGTCCACTGATATGATAGGAGGCTTGGTTGGTTACCATCTGGAAGAAATGAAAGCTTCAGGTTGCTATTTGGCTTTCTTTGAAATCTGAGGATATTGGAGCACCTTGGTTCAGCTTGGCAAGGTTGGAAATCTACTTTTTGTTTCTATAGATTTGGCTATTTTGGACATTTCATATAAATGGAGTCTGTAGCCACTTAAACCTGGCTTCTTTCACTTAGCATAATGTTTTCAAGATTTGTCCATGTTGTAGCATCAGTACTTCATTTCTTGTTATTGCCAAGTAATATTCCATTGTATGGATATACCATGTTCAGTTTATCCATCAGATGATGGACATTTGGACTAATTCCACATTTGGCTATTATGAATATTGCTGCTGTGAACATTCATATTCATGTTTTTGTGTAGACGTGTTTTTGATTCTGTTGGGTATATACATGTGTCTAGGAGTGAAATTACTGGGTCCTGTAGTAACTCTGTGTTTAACATTTTGAGAACTCCATTTTTTTTAACAGTAATGTGTGTTTGTTAATCTCCTCCTCACCCTTTCCCCTTTGGTAACCATAGTTATTTTCTATGTCTGTGAGTTTGTTTTTGGTTTGTAAATAGAATTTGTATCTTTTTTTTTTTAGATTCCGTATGTAAGTGATATCATTTGATATTTGTCTTTCTCTGACTTTATCAATCAGATAATCTCTAGGTCCATCTATGTTGCTACAAATGGCAATA